AATTAATCCATCCATATCATTTTTCTAAAAACAAGTTAAGAGTTTTTTTTTGGTATCAAACACTCTTCCAAAACCTGTAATCTTAAAAATTACTCTACTACGTGTTTTGCGTAACTAGTTAATTTAGTGAACAACAAATCTGATTCTAGGAAACTGTCGATTATAAATGGATATGATTTTGAAAATGTATTGTCACCGGTTTGATCATAAAAAATGAGCAGAACAGCGGGAAATGGAAAAAATAATAAAAAAAAGAGATGAAAAAAATGATAAAACAAACCATACTTAAGTAAACATCCACCTTTTAGAACAGAGAATCTGCCAAGAACCTTGAAGAAAATAAAAATTAATTGCTGAAAACAAAACTGAAATTCGTCGTGAAAAATTGAGTTAAAACCAAAATTTCAGTTTTTTATTCACTTTTCATTGGAATAAATGATGTTAAAAGGCCGAAAGAGGTATTCTAAACAACTTTTCATTTTAAACGCAGTTCGGAAACTGCATGATGTATCTTTGAAAATATGCTGATAACAATCATCAGAATTACATAAATTAAACTAAAAATGAGATGTGAAGAGTCAGATGGTAAAAACTACTGAACGGCTGTCGAGAATTAAAATTCAGTTCGTAACTATTAATTTTACTTCCCTTTTTTCACCTTTTCCACACTTCCAGTCATTTAGGATATGTTAAAATTTGCAGAAACTATGTGCCCAACTCGATCTTACTGAAATGGAACCATTCGACTGGAGTGCTGAAGTTGAAGCCGAAGAAAACAGGAAATTACAAGTAACAACTGTTCTTTGAATGCAGAAAAGTATCATTAGCAACTGTTGCCGTTTTCACATGGTCAAAAACCGATGTGATCGGAAAAATCATAGGAATCTTAAACGTTGCAAATTCAAACGATTTTTCATTACTTCAACAGTTATTCTCAACAGCAGGAACAGATTTTCCCCCTCAAGACAAAATTCTAATGTTCAAAATGATTAAAGTTTTTGTAACTACAAACAAATAACTTTTCTATCACTTATAATCCTCACATTTCTTGATATCTCATCCAACAACGTCAGTGCCTTTCGAAAGTCTAAAAAAGGGAAGCTTAGAAAAAATCCTTGTAAGAACTATATCCAATAAGTAGTTACCGATAACTTGACAAATTAAATACAGGAAATATCAAATCAGAATGGTTACGTATGTTAAATACCACATAAGACATGTACTATCAATTTTTAGTAACGTGTTCTATTCCTAACAGTATCCGACTGCTTCCAAATCCAACAAAAAAAAAACTAATACATTTTCTTCTGGTGTTAGGACGTTTTGATGATTTTAATTAAAATTCTTTTAGTCAAATGAAAGCATTATTGAAATTTATATAACCAACTTTTTGATTTAGCGAAAAGTATTAATAAATACCAACGATGTGGGAACTTCTGTAGATAAAGAACTACTACAACAAAGACCAGATAATACTCCAAAGAATATACCGAAGTCTTCGCTACCTCAAAATGTTCAATCAGACTTCATTCGACACCATTAACATAGTGATCTTTCTAATTGAGCACCCTCATAGGTTCTTCAAGACAAAATTTTTGTTATTAATAATAATATTATAATTATTATTACTATTATTATAATTATCATTATAATGAATTTTATATGTAAATTACAGATCTTCGACAGACGTTACACCATGTAAATAATAAAAAATGGCACTCAGCACTTGAGCAACGTTACAATTTATAGACACCACAGTACACTTTCTAACATACCCAGCACAAGTACTGTTAATAAGCATTACAACTGGATGTTACCTTTTCTTTATGCTAAAAACTTTATAAGAAGCTTTCTTTTAAATTTCATAATTTTTTGGAACCATTCTGACATATTCACGAGAGCCATTAACATCTCAGTAATCCCCCAATGGTGCTATTTAAAATAAATTAATTACTCTCTTAGCAGTCATTTTTAATACCACAAACTGGACACTATTCTTTTCTAAATTAGGCAGTTGGAAGTTTCCATTTTTACCAAAGACATTAAATTAAGATACGTGGTCCTGCGGTCATACCTTGACCCTACATGTAAGTTACTTACGAAAACTATTATATAACGAAGAAATGACTAAGGAAGAAAAAAATAGGGTGAAACACTGCATCTGATGAATCAATGAAACAAAAACTTCCTGACTACGCATCATGCAAAATATTTTTTTATTAACCTGAGATAACTGTAACAAAATATAAAAAAATAAAAGAAAACGGCTGTATTCATAACTTAAATGGAAAAATGAGTAGAAGTACTATCAAAAAACAAAAAAAATTCATTGAGGAATCTACATCTGAAACTAGCAAAGCAATATGAAATCATATTTACCTCAAACATTGAAAAAAGTGGATTAAAGTGGATCATCGCTGTCAAAAATCAGTAAAAAAAGAAGGATGGGAAAAATCCCGTGGGAAAAGCTTAATAATTTGAAATAGCTGAACAGCATAACAGCGAAAACAAAAAACAAAAAAAAAAAAAAAAACGCTCAGAGAAAGAAATGTAAATTTACCACTTTCTACACTTCCGCAATAAATTTGACGTTTGCAGACATTTGCAATCAACAGATCATTGATCCGCCTGAAAAAAACTTTAACAAGCCTCCTGTTTTAATCGGTAAACCATATCCAAAAAAGCAATTATGGAACACATACAAACATCATTAAAAAAACATCGACTCATAAAGAACTGGTCAAATAGCACTAATTTCCAGTATCATTGTTATTACTGTCGCTGCTACTTTGAAGCTTCTCATAATCAAAAAAAAATCCTTCTCTGCTAACTGCAAAAAAAAAAAAACAGAAGAGGAAAGAAAAATTAAAATCGGTGGGTGAAAACATGATTTCAATAACCAGGAATGTAAAAATATGGGGAAGAGGTGAAAAAATGTTGCTCTCAATTAAAAGAAATTTCAGGAGCAGTACGGAGTAAAAAAAAGGCATAAATCAGCCTTTCACTTAGTTCCTTCCACATAAATCTAAGTCCTCACTCGCGAAAAAGAAAAGAAAAACGATTAATAATATTAATTTCTTAGTTTTATTCTTTTTTTTATCCATTCTTCAATTCCTTCCCCTCATCCATCTCAATTAAATAAATGAATAAATTAATATAAATGAAGATATGAATATTCTTTAGTTCCTTTCACCTCGCTATATATATATATATATATATATATA